CAATGTATTAAAAAAATCCAGAAAAAGTTTGTGAAGAAATAAAAAGTTACAAAGAAACGTGAGAAAATCGGTTGAGATCCGAAAACTAAAAATGTAATTTTGGAAATATGAAAATATATAATCCCCAAGTCCACCTACGAAATTATGAAAAATAGACCCCATACGCCCAGCTGGGAGGGGTGAAGAGGAGCAGGTGTGTGTTTCGACGAGGGTTTAAATCTGATTTTTGAGAACCTTTCTTTGTCATTTCACGTTTATGGCGGACCGTACTCGAAAACTTAACAATGGTAAACGAATGATAGATCTTAGAAATATATTCAAGTACAATCTGAGATTGGCTTCCATTTATACGATGTTGCAAGGGCGGCTTTAAGGAGAATTGAGAGAGCTGGGAGGGGAGGAGAATGTGCGTGTGTGCCGTCTATACAACATTTTTTATTAACAGTATTGAAAACATATTAGATTTGTTTCATATAACTTTGTTTCGGTTATTGTATTGTAGCACAAATTATACCTTTGTAAAAAAATATTGATTAATTAAATGTAAAAAAGGTAACAAAATTTTATCAAAGTGTAATAACCCACATAATAAAAAAAAATGTGAAGGTATGTACTATGGCTGTGAATCTAAAATAAAAAAAAATACGTTTGACACTCGGAGACTGCCGCGGTAAAGCTATTGCATAGCATTTTTTATCAACTTATGCGGCCCCTCTCCTCTACCTCATCTACACACACGACACTCCCCCCCAAACCACCCCACATCCAAATGTCTGCTATACGCAGATGACACAGCTCTAATTTCAGTAGCCAAAAATTCTAACCAACTAAATATTCGAACCCAAAATCTGTCGAACCAGTACTCTTACTGGTGTAGCAGATGGAGGGTCTCATTAAATCCACAGAAAACTCAATTTATTGTCTTCAAACACCCAAATTCCAAAAGAACCTCCCAAAACCCCCAACTCGTAAACGTAAATCTCCTGGGAGTCAGGCTCGCCCAACAGACTGAAGTCGATTATTTGGGGGGTACGATTTTCTCGTACACTTAACTGGTCTTCTGATGTCCAACGCACTCTTGACAAGATGCGAAAGCGAGCCAGTCTCCTTGGAGCTTTGTGCGGACGAATGGGGCGTTGTAACCCAAACACCCTTATTCACACATATAACTCCTTCATCCGACCCGTTGCCGAATACAGAGCTATACCCTACGGAGTACTTCCCACATACCTGTCCCACAAATTTACCACACTCGAGAGACGTATTCTCAGACGCTGCCAGTACCTCCCCTATCGCTCCCCAGTGGAGAAGTCTACCTAAACACCCCCAACACCCCCATCCTCACACGTTTCCAGACCCTCAGAAAACAGTACGTCTCTCTCACGCTGAAAGGCACAAACACTCACTCCCTAGACACACTCCGAATCCCATGGCGCCCCAACCAACTCCCTCTGTTTCGAAAACCGAAAAGAAAACTGCCACAGCCTAATCTAAAACTCCTCACCGACGCCCAAGACCTCCCCCTCACCGCTGAACTCCAGGATCTGCTGGAATCAGCCCCCCTAAGTATAAGATAAACCCTTCCCAATTAATTAATTAGAAAGTCAAAACTTATGTACAATATCGTGGTTTAGGTTTTGTGGTTTTCCTAAATCATATTCCCCACCTCATACTTGGACTTGTCCATTTATGGGGTTGGAAATAGCAAAATTGGCGATATCCTTGGGGAACACAACCTGCCACACAGGTCCCACACACGCGCACAACAATTTAGGAAATTAGCTAGCTAGGTTACTTTGTAATCAGGGCAGACCACCCTGAAAAGGAGGATAACTCCTATAGCAGGGAAATAAAAAAATGAAATGTCCTAGAAAAATGTAAAATACTTAAGATTACCAGTAATAAATAAAAAAAAAAAAAATCAACTTATGCAATTATAATTATTTATTTATTTTATGCAGTATTTTTTTTTTCTTTGATATTAATTCAAGTTTTTTCTTTGATATTAATTCAAGTTACACTTTTTGAGCGTGGTGACCGATAAGAAAACAAATTTTTTTCTTTTATAGAAATATTGTTTAAAATATTTTTATTATCTTACAATACATGTAGGTTATTCAGGAATTTTTATCATTGAAACTATAGGTTTATGGTAACTGAAATAAGAAACATAAGTGTGAGACTTGATATCCCCTAAATATCTGGAAAATACCGCGTCAATGGTGGTCCCATATTTTGTTGTGGATTCTTGTGGATCATTATTCATTTTCAAATTAAATTTTTCCGAAATTGTGTCTAAAAGAGATAGAATCAGTTATGAGCAGTTAGCAGCTAGTCTACACGCATACGTCTAGTCGCACGCATACAAACACCGTGCCGAAGTCTGCCGAACTGAAACGACGTTAGACGATACACGGCTTTCGACGCCGCACCGCTATGCCGGTGTTAGGTTTATTTTCGTTAAGGATTTTTTTTTTCGATTTTTCCATTTTTCGATTTTTCGGTTTTTCGATTTTTCAATTTTTTTTCCATTTTCGATTTTTCGGTTTTTCGATTTTTCGGTGTTTCGATTTTTCGATTTTCTTTTATTGAATAAATGAGAAGTTAATATTGTTTAACGCCGCACCGCTGTGCCGGTCGGAGTGGGAGGTGTTAGGTTTATTTTCGTTACGGAATTACGGAATTTCTTGATTCGGTCGCCACGCTCAAAGCCCGCGATAACAGCTATGCAATAGCTTAATAATTATTTGATACTGGATTTTATGTTTAATATTCCTCAAAAATATATTTTAGTTCGGTTCGAAGAGGTTTATTTCGGTTCAACCAATTTGGTTATAAGAAGTTTTTTTGTTAGTTATTATTATATAGATAAGTTAGATCCAGCTGACCTATTTTTTGACTCCAGAATATCTGGTATAATTTATGACCTACCTTTTTGTTACACCCTGTATATTAACACCTAGTAAAATAAAATTAGTTTTTTTGATTTTAACTTATGTTGACAAGAAAACTAAGAGTATATATTCTACCACAATTTTTTGTCAATTTAATGTTGATGGTGTGGACTTCTTTGACAGTTTTCCAAAATGAGGAAATAGAATATTTTCTAAAAATCTGATGTGTCCAACACATGACTTTTCTGTCTATAGTTATAATAGTCTTTTTCCGATTATTTTGTATAACCTATTGTATGACCCCTGTAAATGTTTAGAGGATGAACTAAATACATACATTTTCCACACACATCTTACTCAAAACATTTTTTTATATATTCATTGCCAACTGAAAAATTGAAATGTTACACTTTTCCTCAAATTTTTACATTACAGTCTATCATGTATGGAACAAAAATTTGAACAATTTTCTTGTAAATTAGAATTTTTCACTTTTTGTCAAATTTCTCGAATACACACCATTTTATGAAAATCATATATAGGAGAACAAGTTATAAAAGTAATTTTAAAAAACCTACATCAAAATCATGCAGATGCCATTACAAATTGACTTTGCTGATTTCATCATAGATCTCATCATCAAATCTTGACTAAATGTATATGAGACCACCCCTAAGGTACCCCCTTTCTAACTAAAATATAATAATAAAAATCGGACAACGTACTAAATAATTATAGCTAAACATACATAAAAAAATGAAATGTTTGAGAAATTTTGTATTGAAGCCATTAATAGATCTTGACCAAATTTATATGGGATCACCCTTTTTCTAACAAAAAAGGATCATAAAAATCAGAAAAGGTAAAGAATTATCGCTGATCATACATAAAAAAAAATATTCCAACAAATTGACGAGAACCTCCTCCTTTTTTGAATTTTCTTCTCCAAGCATAAATAACAGATATATTCTTTAACAATAGAAAGAACAAATACGACACATTTTAGGGAAATCATGTATAAGACAAAAATTATAGAAAATGACATTACAAGCAACTTTTATTTGAAGAATTTTCTTCTCCAATAACAGGGGGTCAATTCTCGATTTTCGTATTCTCGACACAAGCGGTAGAATATTTTCCAATGAGAAGTATGGGAAAATATTCCCCTGCTTACGAGCATTGGAAATTGTATTTTCCAATGGGAATTGTACTAGAGTTTGCGCATTAAAGTCGAAAATTTGACGAAAGACCAAGTCTAAGACATAACCAAAGATTATTGGATATTGGATATCTTGGATTTTTAGTGAAATTGTAGTTAAAACATTTTTTTGGCGTATTTATAGATTGATATTATTTTATTTATGTAGGTATATTATTTTTAATTCTCTTTCACTAAGAAACTGTATAAACTGATTTTCCTAAATCATTTAGAAATTGTGGGAGCTGGTAAGGGACTGGCAAATAACACAAATTGAGTGTAGTAAATTTAATAAGACCTTTTCGAAAATTTTATTATTTTCGTTAATGAAAGAATTTCTTAGTTTCTCAAAACTTTCGTTGCTCTTCCATACGAAAGCTACCTTTTCTTTTTTCAACATGAGAAAAGAAAAACTAAGAATAACTCGACAAGTTTTAATTATTATACGTAATCGAATATTTTCACTTATTCTCGATCATGATAGCGATTGCTCGGCACGGCATCTGCTCCAGCGCGGAGGCTCGGCAGGTAATCGGATACCCAAAAACCACAACAAATACAAATATTGCCAACAGTAAATTTTAAAATATCTTTAATGTTATTGGTTGTTTCGAAATATTCGTGAACTTAATATCAGACATACGTGAAACTACTATTTCCATGGGAATGTCTATTCCGACACGTTCGAGAATTGCATAACCTATTACCATGGGAATATAAGTAGTGGAATATTTTCTCATGGGAAAATTTTCCAATGATCTCGAGAATCGAGCCCCAGATATATTCTTTAAAATAGAAAAACGACCTCCCTCCAGATGTCGACAAAATTCGTACTCTCCTTATCTGTATACAAACAAGAAAGTGCTTGGGTTTCACTAGGTAAATTCATGAATATTTTATTGTTTTAGATAGAGGTAGACATTCCGAGATGCCATCAATACAATGAATTATTGTCGTCTTCAGAAGGACATAAAAAGTTGAAAAGGATTCTAAAAGCTTGGGTGTTTAAAAACTCACACTATGTTTACTGGCAAGGCTTAGATTCTCTAACGGCTCCGTTTCTTTATTTGAATTTCAACGATGAAGGTTAGTTTTCATTTATTCCTTATTTTTAACCAATTATGTACCTCTAATACATTTATTAGACAGTAGGCACCAGTAAAGTCTAAATAAGCATTATTATTTTTTTTTTTCAATGTAAACTATTCAAAAAAAAGTTGCATATAAAAATTATGTTTTCGTTTTTAATCATTTTCTTAACACTAAATAATAACTATTTAATTTTAATCGATTTATAGCAGATGCTACGAGGCTAATCCCAAAAGTAAGGTGTTCTATTTTTTTAGACACAAAAATCCGCTTATTTTCAATAATATTTACATCATTTTAAATGTTCAACATTTGTCTATTTTTCTACATAATCTTCATTTCAGTATAGGCATTTTTGTAGACACTGTGACGGTTTGTGTATGTCCACATGTCATACCAACTCCTCCATGTTCTTAAAGAAGCGTCGAACCTTGTCTTTCACTTCATCGTCGGATCTGAATCCAACGAAGAGGAATCTTGAGCAAGGGCGTAAGCATTCTCCGCGCTAACGCTCGCCCACGCGTCCGTCCGTCACGTCCCTTTAAACCGTTGGTTTCCTGCAACAGTTTAAATGGAACATCATCACACACTTACCCTATATAGTCCGGATTTGGCACCCATTGATTCTCCTGTTTCCTAAGTTAAACAAACATTTGGTCGGAGTAGGGAGCTAGTATGACTGTCACAGGGTGTAGAAAAATGCATCTGCCGAAGTGGCAATTATGTAAAACAAATAGACAAATATTCAAAACTTAAAATGATGTAAATATTAAGTATAGAAAATAAATGAATTTTTGCATTTCTAAAAAAATGGGAAACCTTACTTTTGGCATTACCCTCGTAGGAGTTATCTCCCTATTATTACGGTGGGATTTTCGTCAAGTATTGCATTGGAATATATAGCATATTATACATAGTGCTTCATAATAAAGTCTAAGAGGGTTAGTTCTGGCGACCGTGTGAGCCAAAAAAAAACAGGACCACCTCAGCCAATTCATTTTTATACTGTTCAAATTCTACTAATCAAACGATCAATAAGCGAGAGTGTGTCGTCTAGCCAAAACCACATTTATTGACGTTTATTTTATTATTTTCAAAGAAAAACATTTAGAAACAAACGAGCCAATTATTTTATTTTTTGCATTAATCACTTTCGTTCAAAATGTTTAATTACCCTTTTAAAATAAAAACAAAACTGTAAGCATCCTGTATACAAGATAATGTGACGATCTATTTTAATTACTCCGCGTAAAAAAAATATTAATTTTCTTTTTGTTATCGTTTTTCAGCTAAAGCTTTTGCATGCCTGTCAGCATTTGTTCCGAAGTTTCTACACAAATTTTTCCTAAAGGATAATTCTGCTGTCATAGAAGAATATTTAGCGAAATTTTCACAGTTGATAGCTTTCCACGATCCAGTTCTAGCCAATCACTTATATGAAATAAATTTTTATCCGCAGCTGTTTGCTATTCCATGGTTTTTAACATTATTCTCACGTAAGAAAATTATTTATTTATAGACATTATGATTAGTATAATAAACATGTTTTAATAGTATAGGTACTGGACCCAATTATTAGATATTTTTTTCAAGCAAAAAGTTGAGAATCATCATTTCTTAGCAGCTGCAGTTACAATGGATTGCTAAATTAAATATGTTATAGTTCAATTAAAGTTCTTTGATTGTCATCCATTTTGAATATTTTGTTATAGTTGAATTCGGCATTAATTGACAGTAATGTACTCCCGTTACCTCAATTTGATGGGTCATATGAACAATGGATTGAATTTAGAGATAAGTTCAATTCCCTTGTTCATAATAATATAAACCTGGATAATATACGAAAGTTTCATTATCTATGAGAGAGTTTAAATGGATAAGCAGCTCAGACAATTAAAGCGATTCCATTGGGGGAAAGGTATTATGAAAAAGCATGGCTCATACTTTGTGAAAAATGTAATAATTTCCAAAAAACTAATACCAAATCATATTAAAATCATTTTTGAATACGAAAATATTGCCAAACATAACTCTTCTAAACTATACTATAAGCAATAATCTGGAATATTTAAAACAGTTAGGAGAACCTACTGATCACTGGAAATCGTTATTTACACAATCTTTAAGAAACTTGATGTACAGTCTCTTAACGAATGGAAAAGTTATAAAACAAATTTAACGGGACGAGCAGTTACAAAAGATATAATAGATTTTATAAGATGCAGAGCAGATTTTCTTGAAGAGGTTGAAACTGACATCCCAGATCAACCAATGAATATAGTCAAACCACATGACGGGTTGAAATATTCACATTTTTCAGGTTCAAGTCATATGCAAACATTAAAATCAGATCAATCACAATCACACCATTTACTATTCAATGATTAAAATTATAAGATTATCCATTAAATCTATTTTATGTATATTTTAAAATGCCTTAAATAATTTCTGTTAAATGTAGACGAGATACTTGCATTCTTTTGGCAGTTTACACCAGCCGCCACTGGTCTGTAGATTTAGTGGGTACAAAATTTGTCAAGAGAAGCATGTTTTATAGTGTTTTACACACAGATCGTGAGAGGGTTGCTCAAAACTCTTTCCTTATTACTGATAATAGTGATAATATTGCTAATATAGAAAATGAGGAATTAATTGCAGGTACATAATTAACTACTTGTGCGGTAGCTGCTGAAAATGGCGACACAAATCGAAGTACAATTCTTTCTGTCAAATTCAAACACTACAGTACGTGCTTTACTTGATTGTGGCTCTCAGTCAAGTTTTATTATCACATATATATATATACGTAGCCAAATACAAAAGCGAGGCCCGATGTAGTCAACACACCACCCGAGGCCCTCCTGAAGGAGTGATTTTTTGAATATATATTTTAATGCTTTAGAATGTACTAATAATGTTAAATTATAACGCCACAAGAGGGGTAATATATTTCTAAAATTTAAACATACATGTTTGCAACGTGCATGCGAGTCCCTTAACAATGTTTAACTGACATGAGAGGCCTTCTGTTTATAAATTACTTTTTCAATATACATACGAGTCCCTGCGGCGTTGTCAAGATGGGCCCATGAAATTTGCCCTTCAAAAGGTTTGACTCGAAGAATTTTTACAGATCTTTACAACAAATCTCTTTTCTATGAGTTCGCGCGTATAGTGGTATAATAGGTTTGTTCCAACACGTGCGAAAACGGTAATATTACGATACAAAGTATGCGGTCTGTACAAAAATTGTTTACAGCGTTTGACTTGTTCCGAAATATTATCGATTCCACTTTGTGCGTTTTTAGAATAATCTATTTTACGGAGAGAAAAATGTTATGTAGAGAAGTTGTAGGTATTATAGAGATGCCTATAAAAGGAGATATCTTTATTTGTTTGTTTTGTTGTATTCTAAATAAAAAAAAAAGGTTGGCGAGGGTATTAATTTAAACTATATCATCCGTTTAAAACACTAAATCTCTGACTTTAATTATTGTTTTTGCCCTCTAACATAAAACATTAACAATAGTAATACAGACAAAACAAAACTATAATTTTAATCGTGAATCTGTCTCGCTCAACGCTGGGTTCCAATGATTTAATTACGCCAATTTGACATCAGCACAGATTTTGCCAAAATGAGGAATACAGATTTTTATTTTTACAGAGGGTGAGAGGAATAATTTATATTGCCAATTATCTTTGTCTAGAAGATTAAGTGAAAATATAGACATTTAAAATTTTAAAATATATTTTTTTTAATTTTAAGTTAAAGCAAAAATATAAAATTATTCAAAGAAATGTTTCTAAAGTTGGCTTTAAAAAAAATTTACGCATGTCGGAGCATTAAATTATTTTTCTTTTTAAGTTTTATTTTGAATTTAATTCAGAATCGTTCGTAGTTATTACGGACATGGGACATGAATCGTATCTTTATATTTGTCGATCATGGCCTACTTCAGAAACATTTTTTTTAGATAACTTTTTTTGTAAATAAAGTTCTGTGTTCCGCTGGAACCACTGTTTCAAAATTTGTTTTAGTTTTTATGGAAAACAAAGCAAACATTTTAATATCACTTTTTTTAAGTTTTTAAGAATTTGTATTCCTACTTTCTTTTTATCAGTTTGAAAGAGCTCACCTGCTAAGCGATTCCGGTCTAATACCGGGACAGGTTAATATCAGTTCTAAAGGCCATCTAGGCCCGCAGCTTTTGATATAACATTCTTATCCAATTTACGTCATTTTGACGAAAAAAATATATATACAGGGTGAGTCGGGAGGAGCGCACCAACCTCTAGGAGTATATTATACACGTGAAAATAATTTAAAAAAACTCATATGTTCTTATCCGATTTTCATTTGTTTTCAAGTTATGGCGTAATTAAAAATGTTCATCTAGCCTTCCACTTCTGAATTTTAACATTATCAAAGTATGCCATATGTTCAAGGCTCAAAGGCATTTGATAATTCTGACGGTTTGGTGAACTGTCAGTGTACAGTGAACAGTAACTGAACGTTTAATTTCGAATTTATGTAATTGTTAGTGTTGCAAAATGCCAGATACTTATTCAAATTTAGAATAAGAGAATTTTTATGTGTAAATTTGTTTATTTGTTAATATGCTATAACTTGAAAACAAATGAAAATCGGATAAGAACATGAGTTTTTTTACATTATTTTCACGTGCATAATATACTCCTAGAGCTTGGTGCGCTCCTCCTGACTCACCCTGTATAAACAACGTATTCTTGTATCTATAACAATTTATGATATAGGGTGTTCACCAGGGGTGTTAAATACCAGAATTCATAATAATCGTTTTCATTAGTTTTGGTGAAAATTGATACACATTTTAGTGACAGTACCTACTTGTGTTAACCAATGATAAAAAAGTTGAATAAAAATATTTTAGAGTAACATTTAGCAATATAGCAATTTTTTATATTTTATGAACTATTTTGAATGAAAATAAAAATAAAAAATTGTCATAGAAAGATGAATGTCTTGTTCCTACTTCAGAATTAATTAATTTACCAGATAATAAAGTGACTCTGTATTTGAATAGTTTAGAATCAATATCAAATTTGTATATTTTCGATTTTGTATATGAGATTGGATGCACTGAAAAAGCATATACATTATTACAGCCTGTCAATTTTACGTCAAAAAGTCTTCAAGACGTAAGTGACAATGTAAAGAAAATGTATTATTTATATTGATTAATAACAAATTATAAAGAATTTTCATTGAAGATGATTTTTTTTTATTTATTATGTTTGTCATGTTTGTTTTAAAATAATATTGATGTTGAAAACAATATTGGCTATGTTAATGTAGGTAACAATATTGGTAAAAATGAAAACATTTTAATTTAAAAAAATGATAATGTTCCTTTTTTAATTGAAACTAACAAAAATGAAAATGATGGAATCGTTACAAATGAGGTAAGTATCTATATTTTACAGATTTTAAATTATTATTCCAAATAAGTTGAAGACGGATATAAAGGATGAAGATAGGAAGAATAAATTCTTGTACAAGACTAAAAAAATATTATTTAATATCTAGTAAAATTAAAGTTTAAAAAGTCTTATCTTTATTGTAAATCTATTAGAAACACATTTTATAGAAAACTAGATGAGAACACATACGTCAAAAAAAATATTTAAAGTGGCATGTCGTGTTTTGTAGTTAGTTACATGGAAAGGGGGAGGCAGTGAATAACATGTAGGTACTTTGTCCCGGTGGTGGGAGCTGTCGTTTAACCTGTCAAATTCAAAATAACGTTTCACATCGATGGAGTTTTTCGTCTTAGCTGAAAATAAAATAATTTACTTCTAGACGTCTATAACAATAAAAAAACTCTTCAATGGCGGAGCAAGACCTAAATTTTATGTGGGCAAGATATATTTTTGCAAGGACCTCTGGAGGCGCAAGAAGACGTATTTTATATAGAGAAATAACATTAAAACTTGTATAAAAAAAATGCTAACAACTCTTAGACTTTAACTAATATTTTTAAGTAATTATTACTAGCAGTAAAGAATTACAGAAACATAAATTTCCTGCTTTTAGCTTTACTGAACTCTTGTACCATAATCCAGATTATATATCTGCTTCAATAGATAAAATTGACAATGCTAAAGTCTTTGCTGGCCCATTGTACTTCTTAATTTTTTATTAGTTTTAATTTTGAGAAGCTCCTTTCAGCAGTTGTACTTACTGGTACTGTTAACAAAATTTGAATAACAATATAAATATTTGGATAAATTTCTTTCAACTTATTTTCTATTATGTATTGGAGCAGCTGTTTTACACCTTTATTGAAATCAGGTAAATTTAGGATCATTATTTGTAAATCTTCATAAATAAATAAAAGGTTTGAAATCACTACTCTCACCCACTCGAGAACAGTCCACTTTAAATAATTTTAAAGGTGATGCTTTTAAAAACAAATACAAAAATAAGTCAAAAATCATATAAAGGGGGATGTCC